CTGGGGTTAAACCAGGACACCAGCACGCTGATGGATCAAGAACTCCCTGCTAGTTTACACCGTGCATCCCATGTCCATGTTGTCATCCATGAGTGCAAATAACATGTCAGGGAGTCCTACCTCTTATAAACCAGATAAAATTGGTATCTAGTTCGGTGAGAAGTATGACCAGGCATGTCTGTGTGTTATTCACAGTTTAGTTATTTGTTTCTAAAACATGAGTTGTTTTACCTGTGAATGAAGGTAAAGAAAGTAAAGGTGGCTAGTATCATGCATCATCTTTGTTATCCCAGATGTAATTATGTTCTGAAGAGCATCTAACTCACAATGGTAATGATGTAAAGCAAGTAACTGCAGTCATGCCACACCGCATGTCCTGAACAGATTCAGCTACTCAGGAGTTTTGAATTTTCAGGTTCAAGATCTGAATTACACTGACCCTACATATTTATACAAAAAAGGCTTCAGGATTTAGCCATCACTCTCTGAAAAACTGTAAATAGTCTCCACATTTGTTTGCTCAGATGGCTGCTGAGAGGGCAGCCCATTTTTCAAGTTTACAATAGCTGTTGGACAATCTGTGACACTCCCCATAAATGCTAGTATAGATGAGCCCAGAGGTTATGGAATTTGTTTGAACAGGATATGTGTTTCTTTTCTTAATAATCTCCTAATCTGTGTCATGAACTTCATCACAGTACTTGAAGAAGAATGTAGTAGTCCTATAGTTGTTCCCATGCAAATAATTTACCTTTTTCCTTAGATGTTTCAGAAACAACAGCAGTATGCAAAAATACATACTCTAGATGCAGAGCAGATTGTGGTGAATGTTCACCAGATACTCAAATGTCACAGAGTTAGCTTTGCAGATATTTGGAACCTACAACATAATGGTCTCCCAAGATACATTTTACCTGATTTCTGTGGTTCGCTCACTGCACACATGTACACAGACCAGACTGGTTCTACCACGTTATTGCACACAGCCATCATCTTTTAGGCCCTGGAAAGCCTCGGGCTTGACAGATATGATGGATCTAGTGCTACATGCAGTGCAGCTAGTTGTGGGTGCTATCCCCTTGCAGTACTTCCTGCTCCCCTTTCTCTGGGTAACACAACAAAAAATGGATCATCCCATACCGAGGAAGCATGTATTCCCTCTAGCTTTTTATGCTGGGACTCCAAATACTACCTGAAAAATGGGTGCCAACAGACTTTCCCTGATATGCTCATTTTCGGTGTTTTTCTTCCATTCTGTTTTACTTCTCTTGTTCTTCTCACCCTCACCCTTCGCTTCTTTTAGTCTGCATTTATGGCCTTTCTTTGAAGGATTTTCTGTCTTTTACTGAGCTTGTAAAGAGGCTATGTGCTACCTGGGAGAGTACTGCCACAGAGTCAAGGCATGTGTTGTTTCATATAGGTTCAGACAAGAGAATTGTCCTGTTGTCTTCTTCATGCATTGCAATCCCAGGGACCCAGACTGCATCTTTCTCTTTCTGTGTCAATGGCTGCTGGGAGAGAAAATGTAGACACAATACTATATAACATGTGCTGTATTATGCACAGTTGCAAGGAGATATTTGCCTTAGAAAATGAAATTAAAGACATTAGATTGTACTGTTTCTTCCACCTTCATTCTTCCCTTCTGCCCAGAAATCTGGAACTTAAGTGGTACTTGCCATTGAGCTGTAAGTAGAGGATTGCTCTTGCGGTAAAGATCATAACCTAGCAGCCATGTTGGCAAGAAGGAAAAGGAAGGATAAGGGATGGAAAAGAAAGAAAAACAATTTAGCATGGACAAGAAGAAAGGTGGAGTAATTGAAACTGAGGAAGGAGAAAAAGGTGATGTTTTGCTCTTAAAAAAAAAAAAAAAAGAAAAAAAAAAAGAAAAAAGTCTATTCCATAAATGAAAAAGACAGAAATTTAAAAGAAAAATCCTAATACATAGTAGAAAGTTTGCCAACTATAGGGTGTTTTGTGTTTGTTAGAAGTAATTCCACAGGTACGAATTAGTTTCAGAAATGGTGGAGTATCAGTAGCATTCATGTAGAGAAACTAACATTTTATAAGTCTTAGGACTTGCTTAGGACTGCTGTAATCAGTGTGATGTTCAAAGCACTGATGTCCATGTGAAATATGCTGGGCCATACTTCTTTCTGTCCATTATAATTCCTAGGAAGAAAGTTCCACTTGAACTTAGTTACTGAGGCAAGGATCAAAAAGTTCTATATATATCCATTTCCAGTACATAAGTAAATTTATTCTGCTGTCTAACCTTTTCTTGTTACTGTTACAAAATAAGATTTCTTCTTATCTTCCTGTGATAAATTCAAGCAATATATGCTAGATGCTAGTTTCAATTAAAAGGTAGCTGCATTTTACTATATTTTGGCATACTATACAAGTTAATATGGACATAAGTGCTCTGTCTGGTAAAGAAATAGCAGTGAACAAGGAAGTGGAAAATAGTGTAATTTCAAGAGATTGTTAGAATGAGGAAGTCTATTCTCAGTTACTGCCACTAGATAAATAATATCCTCACAAAAAAAATAATTAAATATAAATATGTAAATTAAGCTTAAGGAAACCCTGCTAAACTTCTGAGAGCACGTGGGAAGTTTTTGTAGTGAAATCTAAAGAAGTGGAAAAGAGAACTCTGCAGAACGAAAATGAGGGTGAATCTTTCTACCTGCTAGTAAACCTGTTAAATATACAATGATCACACTTCCCAGCTGGTCAAACCTGACAGTCACCACCTGGAATAAAATGCACTTGGTTAGAACATGTCCTAGTCACACCTGCTCAAAGTAAAGTGGCATTACACAATTTTTAATAATCATACATTCTAGTCTTGATGCAATTTAACCCTAAATTGTGTCAATAGTCTGAAGACATGGAGATTACCTGTATGCTTAGAGTGAGCTGTTTACACTGGGGTTTTTGGGTTCAAAGCCTTTGCAACTTACTTCAATACATGTAACCATTTGACAGAGTTTTATCTTGTTTGTGGTTATCTTAAGGTGCAGACTAATTCTTTTCAACACATTTTGTTCAGTCACTAGATTAGAAGTAGAGATCATTGTGTCTTTATCATTCACTGATCAAGAGCATTTACATAATATTGTAAATATCTTCAAGGCTATTAAGGTTCAAGATCGTTGCAAGGAATTTAAACTGCCCATATTCACTAGCACAGATGACACCCTAAATCAGAAATCTTAATAGTTGATTAGAGCAGCCTGTTTGCCTGAAAGGTTATTTATTTTCCATTTGTGTTAACAGGAAAGACTTGGTAGGAGTTTGTAACCTGCCTCTATTTTCTTTCAGTTTGTTTTTACAAGTGCAGATAGAGCACAAAAAAGATGGTCCATGAGCTTTTTGTGCTCTTAGGCAAATTCTGTGATGGTTACTAGTAGTTTACATTTCTGCATCAACTAACATCCAGATAGCATGTGAGCTGGCATAAACCACAGCCATAATGAATCTTTAGGAAGGATTTTTGCAAAAATCTGTACTCACTAGAAGAGAATGTTAATGAGCTTCTTGTTTGGTAGAGAATTGGATATGGGATCCCTGTCTATTTCCTTCAGTATCAACAGTATGGAGCAGTTGTCTGTGGACTTGCCCAAATGGTTTTGAACTTGCTAGTATTGTCTACCTCCACAACTTCAATCACTTAAAATAAGGAACATATCCTATAAGTCTGTTTAGTCAAACTTTACACTAGCTTCTCGAGCAACATCTAACTTAAATGCCTTGTATATCATTAAAAAAAAAAACAAAAACCAAAAAACAAACCAAAACCCACAACAAACAAACAACTGGGAAGAGGTGCATTTGGCTTGGGCACTAACAGCTTTCCTGGGACCCTGCAAGTTTACATAAGCCACTGAGGCTGGTAAAGGTAGACTGATAGCACCTTCTTGTGCTTTTGTAACAATTCTGCTGCAAAATACATGCTACTAATGTCACTAAAATACCAAGGGGTGTAAATAATTCCGGTAACTTCAGTGAGGCTATTCATACAAATGAGGCTATTCATGCAAGTAAGACCTTTCAGCACAGGAGTTAATGAAGGGTTCCGAGTTGCCATGTCGCTCACTGACTCCAGTTAGGGATTGGATCTTTTGATACTCAGTTTAACCAGGACTCTGAAGCATGACAAGTTTGTATAATGCTTTCTAAACGCTGATGAACACATTTCCCATACCAGTGATTTTCATTGAAAAATCATATTGCCTGTCAAACTGAATAAATTTGTCTTTTGGCCTATGATTTATTTTCTTTTGGTAGAGCTCTTATCTGAGATTTGTCTCAGAAGTCAGAACTACCTGATAATTCACTTAATCAAAAGACAAGAGGAAGTATGAAGGTGCCTTGTGCTGTGTGGCTTCACTCACTGATTAAACTTAGTCTGGTATTTTGTAGATTGGTTGTGTAGTGCGACGAGTGTAAAATATGCTGAGTGTATTTTTTTATTAATTTCCTGGAAATTATGAAATTAATGTAGTGATTGTAATCACATTAATTTCTTTTCAGTAATTGTGGCTCTACAGTAAATATTGCTACTGGGTAGACATATTTTCACTGATACAAATTACCTAAAATATTTATATCATGTTACTTGCTTTAATGTTTGGTAGTGTTTATACATTATATTGATTATTTTTAATGCCAGTTATGGGTCTTCTAGAGCTAGTGAAAACAGGTAAAAAGTCACTGATAAGGGCTGATAATCAGAGGACATAATCAAGACTTTTCCAAGGACATACCTAAAGACATCCTCGGATTTTCAGAATTATATATGTTATTACTGTGCCTATCATCAATATATACAACAGAAAAGGAAACATCTCTGATTTGCTTTAAAATTTACACCATGGATGTAAAAATTTGTCTATTGCTTGCTCTTTTTGTTTTACTGTTCTATTTTTTTCTTCTTTTTCCCCATGTCTCTACTGCTAATTTGTGTCACATTTTTTATGTGCCTTTTAGGTGTTGGAGTTGGCATGCTGGTACGGGAATATGGGAAACTGTCTAACCTGGATAAATTCTATTTTTCCTTTCCTGGAGAATTGCTGATGAGAATGCTCAAACTCATCATTCTGCCGTTAATCATATCAAGTATGATCACAGGTATGGCTGGAAATGTACTGTTAACTGATGAGATTATCATTGTGGTTTAACTTTCTAAAAGAAATAACCTTTAAAAACAATTTGTTGGAACTCTATGATGAAAAGTAATTGAGTTATAAAGAGCTGTGAGGTACTAATGTACATGTTTATAGATTCTTGTATCTTTCTCCCTGTTTTCAGGAGTGGGTTAAACAGTTGCAAATTGCAAGCCCAAAGCTGCAACTGCATATTCTCAGGTACAGAGTTAACTATTATCAGTAGTCTCATGCTTCCATTTCACAAGAAAGGGAGAGCTGATCTCATAGTTTACTGTCATAAAAAGAGGAGATTCTTCACCTATACTTCCCAGGTCTCAACAAACTCCCATGAGGTACCTTGCATGAGCTTGTCATTTACTGAATCCTTCTGTGAGTCCATTCAATTCACTGACCTGACAGAAAACTATAACTTGGGGGGAGGGGCGGGAAATCTGTTTGGTGTGCTTGGTTCAAAGGAGTTTTGGAGAAGTGCAAGAGAGTAGGGAGGGGAGCTGTGTGACCAGAAAGGGGTTATGGAAAGAAGAGCAAAGCTTCCCTCTTGGAAGAAGCAAGCAAGCCATTGGCTGGAGCCCTGCCGTGGCATACTAGAATTTGCTAATAGCTCATCAAAAAAAAAAAGCCAAACAAACTTGTCTTTATTCTTTAAGCCTTTACTGAGGAAACAAGGGTTGTGTCTGATTTCTTTTACTTCCTACAATGAATCAGAAAACATTTGTCACTATATTATCCTATTTCATCTCTGTGAGAGACATGAAAGCAGACCTGTGAGAAACTAAGAAAAGCAATCTGGGAAAGCAAAAGTTGAGGCTGATTGAAGAAATGCCTCAAACACTTGCAAGACAAAACTCTGAGTCGCAGGGTGCTTTCTGTGGAGGTCAAAGCTGGTAATGCTGCCCCATGTAGCTTGGGGAGAGAGCCCTGTGGAGACAGGATGGCTCTGCCCTGGGGCACCTGGGCAGATTTCAAGGGCCATGTGTCTGGTGAAAGACCTCTGCTTCATTATCCACAAAATGCATATTAAATTTAACACCCCTCAATATGCTAACGAGGGTTGTCATGATCATGCTAATTACATCATCCCATGAAACACCTTACCCCTCCCCGTACATGGGATACGTAGCTATGTGGGTCGATCTAGGGGATGGACACAAGGAAAGTGGGTTTAAATTGAAGGGGGGAATCTCTGCCCATCTCCCTGACCCCCTCTGCCCCCTGGCCCCCCTGGAGAGAGCAGAGAAGCAAAGAAGACTGATGCCAGCGAAACAGACAGCTACCTCCTGGAACCCTCGCCGGCGGGATCAGCGCAGGAACCCAGACCGGTGATCTGTATTTCCCCATTCCCTCTATCTCCCTCTTTTCCCTTTTCCATTAAGAAATGCAAGGCATATTATATTTGTCGCCACAACTTGCTATATACTTAGCCATTTATCATGTGTTCGATTAGTATATTGTGAGTAGTTAAAAAATGCTTGGACTTGGAGACTAGTTGTCTGATCCAATTGGGGATTTGCGAATCTGAGTTACTTGTCCCCCTTGTCTGAGCGGGACATGACAATCTCCACAAAGCCTCTATTTTGGGAATAAATATATTTATGTCCAGGTGTTTGGTTGGTTGGATAGTCACAAAAATACATTAGACATTTGACTGCAGGAAAGGAGAGCATGTCATGATCAGAAAATAAAAGGGGAATTTGGATCATGCTATGAAAGTGCTTTCACGAATAGGGTATTGAATGCAAACTCCCAAGCTCCTCAAAGTTCATGGCCAAAAATATCCCTAATTTCAGCAGTGCACCACAAAGTGGGCCTATGACAAGAAGAGCCTAAGGGAAGCTGCCAAGGCCTTTGAGGCATATCTGTAATGCAGGGTGACAGGGTTGAAATGGAGAATATCAAGAGCTGCAAGATGGAGGCATCCAGAAAGGAAAGCTGCAAGAGGCAGAGTAAGAAATGGTGGCAGAAAATAGACAAGGGCTGTGTCCAGAGGAATGAAGGGAGATGAAACAGTACATAAAGGAGAGAAGAAGAGAGAGAGCAATAAAAATGGCTTGATGTTTTAATTAATAGACAGAACAGCAGCATTTTTCTATAGAGGAAATGAGACAGAAAGCAAAGGAAAACTGAACTCTACCGTTATCATATTGAACTTGAGTCTGTGACAAAAGATCCAGGAAAAGATGCCAAGATGAGACTAATCTATTTCTTTTTTTAGAACAAGCTTTTATTTGTAAATTAAGTTGGGCCTATGTATTCAGAAAGAAATTATATCATTAGGATAACCGTGAAATGAATTATTTATTAAATGTATCCCTGTCCAGTAGTTGTGAGAAGAAATTGATCATGTGGCTAAAAATACTATCCTACTATTTAATGTTTACCATTCCAGCATGAATAAACTGCATTTGTAACTACTAATACAAACTTGGATTTTAAAGATTGTAGATTACAGGAGTTAGATTTATATACAGACATGAGAATGAGATGCTCTGATTCTGACCTTGGCATATCCAGTTTACATAGAAAGAATGTAAATGTGATAATCAGATTGCATAACACTATCTAGATGTTAGCTGATGCAGAAACATAAACTACTACTCAATCTCTTTCTTTTACTGGGGAACCCAGAACTGGGCACAGGACTCCTGGTGTGGCCTCACTGGTGATGTGTTTATGGAAAAGATCACCTCACTCCACACACTGGCAGTGCTTTTCATATTACTGCCCAGGAGGCTATTGGCCACTTCGCTATGAGAAATTGCTGTCTTATGGTCAGCTTGTTGTCCATCAGGACCCTCAGGTCCTTCTCTGTAGAGCTGTTCTCCAGCCAGTCAGCCTCCAGCATGCCTTGCATCATGCCTCCCCAGATATAGAGCTTTGCATTTGTCCTTGTTGATGTTCATGAGATTTCTCTCAGACAGATTCTCCAGCCCATCCAGGTACCTCTGAATGGCAGTATAACCCTCTCATGTAACAGCCACTCCTCCCAGTTTTGTATCACCTCTGAACTTGCTGAGGGAGCACTCTGTCCCACATCTGGGTTGGTTTAGGCCCTGCTGGGACTGGAGACCACGTTGCTGTTGCCCCTCCCCCACCCTCAGCCAGTCAGGCTGGCAGTGAGGCACAAACCCCGGGTTAAAATGAGAAGAAATTTAATACAACAGTGGGATAAACAATCTGAACAACAACAGTAGCAATGATAACAATAAACAGCAATAACAGTAAGAAAGACAAAAGATATACAGATAAATACGGCAATGGTCACAGAACAAGCCCTTAGTAAGCTCCCCACCACCAAAGCCACAAAGAAAAAAGTTCCCGTGCTCCTGCACCTGGACCTGACGTCAGCATGGTATGAATAACCCGGCTGGAGATCCCTTCCCTCTTCTCTGCTGGGGAAACTTAACCCTACCCTAGCTGACCCAGGACAGTCACTGATGAAGATGTTATGCAGTCTTGGCCCCTGAATTGACCTTTGGGCTACACCAGTAGTGACTTGCCTCCAACCAGACTTGTGCTGATGATTACAACCTTCTGGGCCAGGCCATTCAGCCTGTTTTCAATTCATCTCACTATGCAATTTTCTAACCTGTACTTTGTCGTTTTTTCTTGTGGGTGTGTTATGGGAGACTCTGTCAAAAGCCTTACTAAAGGCAAGGTAGACGACATAACCTCTTTGCAATTCTGAATATTAGTACCAAAGCAAAATTCACACTTTCAGAAAATACTATAAAGAATAAACAAGGAGAGGAATTAAAAATTTAAGGAGGATCCAGGGTGCGTCTTCAGCTATGTCTGTAAACAAGAAAGGCACCTCACTGTTAGTGGCAAGGGCACATCTCTGCATTTGCCTCTGAACCTTCCCTGGAATGAGATACAAAAGTATTTTCCTCAAAAATAACCTTATCATTATTGACTAAATGCAAGACATACAAGGATAGCACTACAACCTGCATGCTGGTTGTCTTTGGTGGGACCATTGGCATTCTGAGTATGCCCACCTCCTCAGGATTTTCATATTATATAGACACTTAGGAGGGCTTATATCCAGTGATCACGGCTGTCAGACTGTACATGTTCACAGGCTCAGTGGCAGACATTAGGGCCCTAATATATATGAAGCTACTGCAGTAAAACTAGTGACAACACATCAGCTGGTCCTGAATTGACTGTCTTTTTAGTTCACAAGTTAAGGGATTGCTACTTAACTCAGCATGAGAGAAAGTTAAACATTAAGTCATGTTATTGTGCCTTTTCTGCAGGCAAAGAGTGTGCAGAGACAATTGCTATGGCTGATTTAGTGCATAACTGTAACCAGACCAGGTCCTAGGTCCAAAAGCATGTAGGAAGTTTTGATGCCTACAGGAGGCTATTTTGTGAAAATGTCATGTCAAAACACTGGATTATTGTGACTACACAAGAATCACCAAGACTTTATTGAAAATACAATCTGGTTTTCTTTTTTAGGATTAAAATGTCTTAAAAGGTGATGTCACATCCTGAAAAGTGTCAACTTCTATGCTTTTGAGACAGTAAGCTATGCACAGACATGTTGCATGACCAGATCTCTGTTCATTTGGACATAATGATGTCAATCAAGCCCACAGCAAAAATAGTGATGGTGAGAATCACTCCCTGAGATTCCAGGAGTTTCTGCAAAATTTAAACTATCAGTAATTTTAACTATCAGTAATTTTAACTTGTTGGGGGAAACCCTTTCTTAGTGGAAAAGCTCATGGACTTCTTTAGTTAGAGCAGGAACACAGTCTATTTTCAAATTGAAAAGGCAAAATTCTTCCTCTGGTTAAATGAAGAGCTTTGTAGAATGTGTTTTCCTTCAAAAACACAGTTCCTCAGAGTGTAGAAGAGGGAAGGCATTGTGTACATACTTATTTATATACTGTATGAGTTGCAGTTGGTGGAATTTTTTCACTGACTTGTCTGTAGGCTGAATTATAACCTAAT